TCTTTGTGAAGTTCTCCCACTCTTTGGAGGACTTGGGTCGAACAGTTTTCGCTGCGTTGGTCATTTGTAAAATTTACTTATTTTCCTTTAAAAACACTCTGCTCTGCTTCCTCCTCCCCCCTCGCTCTGTTCAACTCGCGCTGCAGTTTTTTTTTTTTTTCCAAACTTTTTTCAGTCAGTCAGCATTGACGGTGAACGAAACGAAACGGCTTTGCAGCGCCGTGAAAGACGCATAATCGCGCGACACAACGAATCGATAACGAAATTCGTTGCAAACGCTTTTAATCATCGATTTTTATCGATTTTATCGATTCGTTGTTGCAGCCCTACTCAGCAGTTGTAATAATTAATAGAATGTAGTGAATAAAAGTTAAAACATTGTAAAAGTTGATGTTTCTTTACATATTTTATAATATTGTTTGTGGGTTTGCGAGGGGGGCCTCGGCCAGAAGCTAATGCTGTTTGGGGGCCATGGCATGGAAAAGTTTGGGAACCCCTGTGTTGGCCCATTCAGTAGAGTAACCATGAGTGAGGAGGTTGTTGTCATGACGACCTGTGGCATCTGGTGTGTTGATTGTTGATCTACAACCTGAGCTGCACATCTCTCACTAGCCTGTCATGTTACAACGTGCACACCTGCAGCTTATACTCTTGTGGGGGAGTGGTGGCGCAGAGGTTAGAAGATGGGCCTGTGATCGGAAAGTCGCAGGTTCAATTCCCGGTACCATCAACATCAAAATGTGGGTGGAAAAGGTGAAACGCCCTCACCTGCCTCAACCCTCATTCGCCCCACTCTGGGCCCCTGAGCAAGGCCCTTAACCCCCATCATCTGTTCCTTAAACAGGTCTCTGTTGAAAATGAGTTCTCATGACTCAGTGAGACTACCTGGATAAATGAATGGGTAAATGGAAAAACGAGAAAAAAAAGTGCAAAATTGTTCTTTTTCGTTATTTCGTGTGCACGGCTCACATTCGGGTGCTCTCTATAGACCGGCAATAAAGGTAATGAAAGAATTCATGCAGTTTTAGATGTTGTTCTCTGATGTATACAAACCTATT